ACTTGTTAGATATACATCAGTATATTTGTCAGTATACTTGTTAGATATATGTCAGTATATTTGATTTGTAAGTATTTTCTTCCATTTTTGAATTATCTTTTCATTTTCTTGATGAAGAAAATTTCCTTTAAGCACAAAAGTTTAAAATTTTGTAAAATCTATTTTATCTATTTTTTCTTTTGTCACCTGTGCTAGACCATTGCCTAGTCCATGATCACAAATGTTTACTCCTGTGTTTTCTTCTAAGAGTTTTATAATTTTAGCTCTTACATTTAGGGTTTTGATCCATTTTGAGTTAATGTTTATATATGGTGTGAGGTAAAGACCCACCTTCATTCTTATGCATGTGGATATCTATTTGGCCCAGAACCATTTGTTGAAAATAAAATTGTAATCCTCCACTAAGTTGTCTTGGTATTCTTGTCAAAACAAATTGACCATAAACATAAAGGTTTATTTCTGGACTCTAAATTCTTAATAGGTCCTTAATCCCTATTCCATATGTCTATCATCCTTATGCCAGTACTGTCTTTTTTTTTTTTTTTTTTTAAGATTTTATTTATTTATTTGACAGAGAGAGACATAGCGAGAGCAGGAACACAAGCAGGGGGAATGGGAGAGAGAGAAGCAGGCTTCCCGCCGAGCAGGGAGCCCGATGTGGGACTCGATCCCAGGACCCTGGGATCATGACCTGAGCCGAAGGCAGACGCTTAACGACTGAGCCACCCAGGCGCCCAGTACTGTCTTGACTATTGTGGCTTTATAGTAAATTTTGAAATCTGGAAGTGTGAATTCTGTAACTTTTTTCCTCTTTTACAACATTATTTTGGCTGTATTGGGTCCCTTGCATTTCCACATGAAATTTAGGATCAGCTTGTCAATTTCTGGGGGAAAATGTTGTCAGCAGAGATTTAATAGAAATTACTTTGAATCTGTAGATAAATTGGGAGAATGCTGCCATCATAATAACTAAATCTTCTGATTCATGCGCGTGAAACTTCATGTACTTAGATCCTATTCTTTAATTTCAGCAATGTTTGATAGTTTACAGTATATAAGTCTTGCACATATTTTGTTAAATTCAATCCTAAGAATTTTATTCTTTTTTTTTTTAAAGATATTATTTATTTATTTGACAGAGAGAGACACAGCGAGAGAGGGAACACAAGTAGGGGAAGTGGGAGAAGCAGGCTTCCCGCAGAGCAGGGAGCCTGATGTGGGGCTCGATCCCAGGACCCTGGGATCATGACCTGAGCCGAAGGCAGATGCTTAACGACTGAGCCACCCAGGTGTCCCAAATTTTATTCTTTTTTAAAAAGAGTATTTATTTATTAGAGAAAGGGAGAAAGGGAGAGCGAGAGAAAGGGCATGCACATGAGTGGGAGAGGGGCAGAGGGAGAGAATCTCAAGTAGACTCCCTGTTGAGCGTAGAACCTGACCCGGGGCTTGATCTCACCACCCATGAGATCATGACCTGAGCCAAAATCATGAGTCTGACACCCAAATGACTAAGCCAGCCAGGTGCCCCAGAATTTTATTTTTTTTAATAATATTGTAAGTGAAATTGTTTTCTTCATTTCATCTTTGGATTGTTCATTAATAGATGTATAGAAATACAATTTACTTTTATAAGTTGATCTTGTATTTTGCAATCTTGTTGAACTTGTTTATTAGTTCTAATAGCTTTTTATGGATTTATTAGGATTTTATATGAACAAGATGATGTCAAATGTGATTAGAGATAATTTTACTTCTTTCCAATCTGGGTACTTTTTATTTCATTTTCTGGACTAATTGATTGGCTTTTCCTTGAGCAGTTTTAGCCAATTATATTTTTCTAGGTGGTTGTCTTTCAAAGTTTAAATTTATTAGCATAAAATTGTTCATCATAGTCTGTTATTTAAATCTATGCTCTGTCTTTAGTAACAATGGTTCTTTGTTTCATTCCTGATGCTGTTAATAATGACTTCTGCTTTTCTTTCTTACATTCTCTTATGTATGAGATATATCTTTTTAAAATTCTTTTTAAACTTTATGACATACAGAGTACATGTGGAAAAGCATACAAATAACAAGTACACAGATGGATTTTCAAACTGAATACAATGGTAAAGTCAGCACCCAGATTTAGAGACAGAATATTATTAGTACCTCAGATATTCCCAACATGCTGTTATCCAGTCACTCCCTGGCACCAAGAGGATAACCCATCTTGATTTCCAAATGCATACATTAGTTAAAATTATGTTTCTACTTTATCTAAATGAAATAATACACTACATACTCCTTTGTGTCTAGCTTCTCTCAGTTGATATTAGCTTGTGATATTCATCCATTTTGTTGTGTGTGGTTGAAGGCCATTTATCCTCACTACTAACTACTCTTCCACTGTGTTAATATACCACAATATGTAAGCTTCCTATTCCTTTTTTTTTTTAAATTTTATTATGTTATGTTAGTCACCATACAACACATCATTAGTTTTTGATGTGGAAACTTCCTATTCCTAATAGGCATTTGGTACTTTCCAATTATAGACTATTATGATTGGATAAATATCTGTACACATTTCTTTTGTGTATATACCTAGGAGTGAAATGACTAGATCCATAGAGTATGTGTATGCCAGCTTAGGATATATTGCCAAACATATTTCCAAAGTGGTTGTTCTAATTTATGCTCCCATCAGCTATATATAAGAGCTCCATTGGCTCCACATCCTCACCAACTTTTGGTATTTTTTGTCTTTTCATTTTAGCCATTCTAGTGGGCATGTAGATGGAAATGTTTCAATTATTTTTAACTTTGGAAGTTTTCTCACCTACTTTTTAGTGGTGATTTCTGACTTAGTTGCATTGTGAACAGAGAATATGTTCTACACCACAGATTGCTACCATTTGTGGCTTGCTTTGTGGCCTTGTGTATGTGGCTGTTTTCATAGATATGTCATAGATACGACATTGTTTTCCAGGGGCTCAATGTCTAGTTCTATATATGTTAGTTGGATTTGAGCTTGTTAATTTTGGCATTTAAATAGTATCTTTACCTTTTCTTACACTTTATCAATTACTTAGAATGTTGTGTTAAAAATCTCCCATTCTGATAGTAGATTCAATTTCTCTTTGTATATGTTAATTTTTGTTTTCTGTGTATCTGAGACTTGTGTTTTTAGATGCATAGAAGTCTAAAACTGCTCTTTGTTTATCATAAATTGAACCATTTAGTGTTGGTGTCCCTCTTTAAATTTAATGCTTTTTGCTCTAAAGAATATTATGTCTGATGTTAAACTAGTTACTTCCTTTTGTTTATCATTTTTTAATTATATCTCAGGTATGTAGAATTGGATTAAAAACTACTTTTAGCTCTTACAAACTCTAAGGACTGGTCCATGCATGTGCCACTTTTATTCATTTAGCTAGTTATTATGAATAATGTAAAAGCATCCATGAAACTACCTCCTAAAACAAAGGATAGGACCTAGACAAGAATCCTCATCAAACCATTTGGCTCCCCTGCCTTCCCTCATCTGAAGGTAACGGTTACCCTGAGTGTATAATCTATATTGTTCATTCCTTCCTTTTTTAATAATATCATTTTATTGCAGGTGTGTGTATATTCCTTAAGATGCACATTTAATTTTGATTGTTTTTATGGAAAAGGGATTGTGTTGTATATAGTTTTAAGAGCTTATTTTTCCACTTAATAATAAGTTTGTTAAGTTTCCTTCATGTTTTGCACATCACTGTATTTCTTTCATTTTGACTGTTGTATAATATTCATTCACTCTTTGGTGGGCATTTAGGTTGTTTCCTGGTGTTTGCTATTTGAAAGTACTGCTGTCCCTATTATACATATCTTTTTTTGCACATATGCAAGAGACCGGGTTACTGGGTCCTAGGGCATGTGGAAGTTCACTATTAAAAGATAACTCCAAAGTGCTTTCCCAACTGGGTTCACCAGTTTGGATTCACATCAGATCCTGTGGATTAACTTCATCCCCAGCATTTGGTATTGTCAGACTTTTTACATAATATCTCTCTGTGGTCTTTATTTGTATTTCTGTAATTGCTAGTGAACATTGAACATCTTTTCTTATGTTTATTGACTATATGTATTTTCTCATTTGAGAAACCCTATTTATATCTCTCAAGCATATTTCTATTGAGTTCACCACGTCTTTTGTTACCTAATTTTAGGAAAGCATTTATGTGTTCTTGACATCAATGTTCTCCATGTGGGTGTGTTGCAAAACATCCATTCCTGGTTTTTAATTTGTGTTCTTATATTTTTGAAATTGTCTTTTGATTAGCAGCAGTTTTTCATTTTAATATAGTTAAACTGATTAGTCATTCATAATTAATCATTTATAGTTAATGCTTTCCTATCTTGGTTAAGAAAATTTTTTGCTCCTGGATGCCTGGGTGGCTCAGTCTGTTAAGCGTCTGCCTTCGGCTCAGGTCATGATCCCAGAGTCCTGGGATCGAGCCCCGCATCGGGCTTCTTGCTCCGCAGGGAGCCTGCTTCTCCCTCTGCCTGCTGTCCCCCCTGTTTGTGCTCTGTCTCTCTCTCTGACAAATAAAAAAATAGAATCTTAAAAAAGAAAAAAGAAAAAAGAAAAATTTTTCTCCAAAGACTGAAAGATATTCACCTATAGTTTCTACTTAGAGTTTAGAAAATTATTTTTAAAACTTAATTCCTTTTATCATCCAGAGATATTTTTATATTATTGTATGATAGAGATTCAATTTCATTGTTTTCCATAGGAATAGCCATTTTTTTTCCTGGCCATTCCCTGACTTTCCCAGTGATCTGACAGGCCAACTCCATCATGCACCACAGCTCCATATATATACAGATCTGCTTCTGGCCTCTTATTTCATCAGTCACTTATCTGTTCTTGTATTCATAGCATACTGGCTTGTATTTTAAAAGAATCACTCTGCCTATTATAATATAACTTTCAAGAGATTTGATCATTATTTATTATTTCTGAATTTTAGGTATATTACAGCTAATACTGACACAGAAGAACAGAGTTTTCCAGTCCCTAAGGCATTTAACACACACATAGAGGAATTAAATTTAGATGTCCTTCTTCAGAAGGCTGATAATTTACGTATGAATGAATGTAGCAAAATGGAGAGTTTTGAACTACTTTGTGATCACAAAGAAAAGGTAAGAGATATGAGACAATAATGTTTGTATAGTTTTAATTTTTAATTTAATCTCCTGTCCTATTCATGTTATGACTGTAACATTGTGTTACAGTTTACACAAGCTAAATGGTTGATGCAAATTTTTCTATAATCTAACTGAAACTTTTAAAAAGTAAATTATAAGAGTTTATTAGGCTCTAAGATCATGAAAATGAGAACCAGAGGTATGATTATACACATCTATTTTTATTTGATTATTAATTTGCCATATTTGATATGTACTTTATAACAAAGAATAAGACCTACTGCTTCTGTTGGGGCAGGAAAAGCTACATTTTAAGTTTACTGTCTTAGAGTTATTAGAATAACAGCCATCAGTTTCAATGTGTTTCTACCAATGGTCATTTTTCAACATTTAACGTTGGGCTGAATTGAGAAAGCCCATCCCTTCCACTACTACCACCAAAGAGAAAGAAAGAAAGAAGGAAAGAAAGGAAGGAAGGAAAAGAAGGGAAGATAAGGAAGGAAGGGAGGGAGGGAGGGAGGGAGAAAGTTCTCAGTATCCCAAAGAGCAATCAATCTTTCTTTCCTATGAGCAATTTAAGTCTTAAATCCTTTGTCTGAGGATTTAGCAACTCCAAACACAAGGATTATGATTATATTTGTAGGTAAAAAATGTGACTGCTCTTTTGAGTATATGTGATCTTTAATGCTCACTGAGGCATTATAATGAAGGTAAGTAACTTAGAAAGGAAAATAAAAAGAGGATACTATAATCCAGGGAAAACTCGCAGATTCTGGCCTATCAGTTCTCTCTTATATGTTGGTGTAGAGCTAATGTCTGGGTAACACTCCTTAGTTTTAAGATCTAAATGTAACACTATATTAAATCACATTTTGTAGCCATGAGTATTTGAATTTAAAATGTATGCACATGAATAGATTCAGTCATCCATAAATATCAGTTCACCTGCCTAATTTTTTAAAAGTTGCAGTGGAAAGCATTTATAGTCTGGTCAAGTTACTGAGTTAATCTAATATATTGTTCTATCTTTTCAGTTTAGAGATGAAATAGAGTTTATTTGGCGGTTAGTTCGTGCTTACGGAGACATGTATGAGCTATCTACTAACGCACAAGAAAAGAAACATTATGCTAATATCGGTAAGTATTTTGTAAAGATTGATTATCCTCAAGTGACAATCTATCCTCAAGAGACAGGCATTATCTATAACAACCCATTAATGAATTTTAATTAAAGTATCTTAGCTAAAACCAATATGTTTAATCCATTTTAATATATCCTAGTACTGAAAAATATACATAGTCTAAGGACAGAAAGGGTTTTTTAGGACTAAAGTATATATTCTTTAAAAATGTTTGAGCATATTAGAATAAGCAACTGGGGCACCTGCGTGGCTCAGTCGGTTAAGCGTCTGCCTTCGGCTCAGGTCATGATCCCAGGGTCCTGGGATCGAGCCCCATATTGGGCTCCCTGCTCGACAGGAAGCCTGCTTCTCCCTCTCCCACTCCCCCCTGCTTGTGATCCCTCTCTCGCTGTCTCTCTCTCTGTCAAATAAATAAATAAAATCTTTAAAAAGAAAGAAAGAAAGAATAAGCAACTGAAAAACTCAAATTTCAGATATTAAAGTTTATAAAATCACAGACAGACAAAACATTCAGAGGTAATATTTGAGGAGCAAAAGAGGCAGAGGATAGTTGTCTTCAGCACAATTAAAATAACCCTCCCTGATTCCTGTAAGCTAGAACTTCAGGTGCCACAGAGAAATAGCTACTCAGGGTTCAATGCTTTTTTTCAAAATCCATCTTGATAAAACAAGATTAGCCTTGAGTCAGTCCTCATTTATGCTAAGGGATACAGCATATGGTGGTTTATTATACTGTCCTCTATACTTTTTTGCATATTTTTGAAATTTTCCATAGTAACAACAAAAGTATAATAGCTGGAATGTCAAATCTTTTATATATATCTCACCTTGACTCTCACTGAATATCAAAACCCTTTCTTGCAAAAAGCCCCGTAGCTGCCATTTCTCTGAGCTTCAGCATAGTAATCTGACATCAAAACTTCTTTAATTCTTCTTTTATTCCAAACCTCCTCTTTTCCAAGCTTTCTTTCTCTAAGATAGCATAAGGAAGAAACAGCAAAACATAATGATACCACAGACCTCATTCCAGTCTTGTTCACTGTCATTTTTATTTCCAAGAAGGTAGTATCTCCAAACTCCTTGTAATTACATTCCTTCCACTTGTCGATTTCCTTGCCCAGTGACTTTTGCACAAAGAGAAAAAACTGATTTATGTTTGTATCTACTGAGAAAATCACAGGATATCTATGTAAACTGTTTCAACATTCATCCATATTACTTTTATTTCCCATAGACATCATGGGCATCAGGGCTCCTCCTGTGTGTGATAGGAGGTAGAAATGATAACAAAATCACATGTTCTGGGGTGCCTGGGTGGCTCAGTCGTTAAGCGTCTTCCTTTGGCTCAGGTCATGATTCCAGGGTCCTGGGATCGAGCCACGCATCGGGCTCCCTGCTCGGCAGGAAGCCTGCTTCTCCCTCTCCCACTCCCCCTGCTTGTGTTCCCTATCTCACTGTCTCTCTCTCTCTGTCAAATAAATAAATAAAAATCTTAAAAAAAAAAAAAAATCACATGTTCTCAGCCTCTACACAAGCTGATGGCTTTGTGGGGAAGCAGTATTATTGAAATAACCATACATATAAAGAAACAGACGGAAATCCATTGTGAGGAAGGAAGAATATGGGACATTAAGGGTGATAACACCAAGGATTTGAAGGCAGGGGCTGGGGGCTGATGAAGAGAAGGCTTTCCTGGGGAAGTAAGAGTCTCACAGAGGTGAAATTACTGGGGATCTCTATTTTTAAATGGAGTAGAATTGTAATTGAGTTAATGTATGAGGTGGTAAAAATGGAAAAAGAAATAGGCTGGAGGAAATTGGCAGACAAAAATGGAGCGTAGATTGGAATAGGATCTATTTAAAAAAGAGAAACGTTTAAGATGTCAAGAAAAAGGAGTGAAAGCCTCAGAAGCATTCATTCATATATTGAAATATATTAAAAAAGAATTATTTTTCCTCTCCATTTAAGAAATATTTATTTGAAATTACCGTGTCCAGGAACAATGTTAAAATGAGGGGTGGAGGGAAGGAGAGAAGGGAGAGAGGAGGGAGGTGAAGGTGATTAAGACAATTCTACACCAAGGAACTTGCTAGAAAGATCAACATAGAGACAGCCCATCATACCTCAGGGTTCCGGTAGTAAGTGCTTGGGAAAGGTGATGACAAAAATAGGTTCGAGCTGAGCCCAGTGTTGGAGGACACTGGAACTCAGCATGAGGGAGGAGGAAGTGCGAAATATTATTCCCCATAATAGCATACTTAAAATTCTTTAAAAAAAAAAAAAGAGTGGGGGGTGGCACCTGGGTGGCTCAGTCAGTTAAGCATCTGCCTTTGGCTCAGGTCATGATCTCAGGGTCCTGGAATCGAGTCCTGCATCGGGCTCCCTGCTCAGCAGGGAGCCTGCTTCTCCCTCTCCCTCTGCCTGCCACTCTGCCTACTTGTGCTTTCTCCCTGTCATTTAAATAAATAAAATCTTTAAAAAATAATAAAACTAAAAAATAAAATTGTTATGCCAGGGGAAGAAGATGTGATCGCTGAGGAGTGCAGAATTCTTTCAGGGTACTCATGCTGGGGTGGAGCATTATGCAGCACATCTTTTGAAGTACTCTGATCTTAATTTGTATTCCAAATAAAATATGAATCCTATATCTAAAGGAACATTATTATACTTTCCAGAATTAAATGATCAATACAAGTGCCTCAAATAGACCACAAAGTACAGTGTTGTAAAGGAAACAGCTTTCCTTTCAGACTTCTGGTGCATGGGTGAGGCTGCATGCTCCCCAGCTTCCTTTTATAGTCTCAGGGTAATGGACTCTCTGTTTTAGGCTCGAGAGTGTGCACCCAAAGCTATTTTTGTTCATTTGGCCAAGTAGCTAAAATATTGATTTTGTTTCTTATATTTAAATGTATGTTTAAAATTATGTTTTTCAATCATTTATTTAAAGATTACTCTTTTAAGATATGTGTACGATAAAATGTCAGTTAGTATTAAAACACTTCACTTTTTTTTGTTATCTTATTAATAGGCTCTATGAGCTAATTTATTTATTTATTTTTAAATTTTATGTTATTATGTTATGTTAATCACCACACAGTACATCATTAGTTTTTGATGTAGTGTTCCATGATTCATTGTTTGCATATGACACCCAGTGTTCCATTCAGTACGTGCCCTCTTTAATACCCATCACCAGGCTAACCCATCCCCCCACCCCCCTCCCCTCTAGAACCCTCAGTTTGTTTCTCAGAGTCCATTGTCTCTCATGGTTTTCTCCTCCTCCGATTCCCCCCCTTCATTTTTCCCTTCCTACTATCTTATTTTTTTTTAACATATAATGTATTATTTGTTTCAGAGGTACAGGTCTGTGATTGATCAGTCTTACACAATTCACAGCGCTCACCATAGTACATACCCTCCCCAGTGTCCATCACCCAGCCATCCCATCCCTCCCACCCCCCATCACTCCAGCAACCCTCAGTTTATTTCCTGAGATTAAGAACTCCTCATATCAGTGAAATCATATGATACATGTCTTTCTCTGATTGACTTGTTTCGCTTAGCATAATACCCTCTAGTTCCATCCACATCATTGCAAATGGAAAGATTTCAGGGTTTTTTGATGGCTGCATAATATTCCATTGTATATATATACCACATCTTCTTTATGCATTCATCTGTTGATGGACATCTTGGCTCTTTCCACAGTTTGGCTATTGTGGACATTGCTGCTATAAACATTGGGGTGCACCTTCGGATCACTACATTTGTATCTTTGCAGTAAATACCCAGTAGAGCAATTGCTGGGTTGTAGGGTAGCTCTATTTTCAACTTTTTGAGGAACCTCCATATTGTTTTCCAGAGTGGCTGCACCAGCTTGCATTCCCACCAACAGTGTAGGAGGGTTCCCCCTTCTCCACATCCTCGCCAACATCTGTCATTTCCTGAGTTGTTAATTTTAGCCATTCTGACTGGTCTGAGGTAGTATCTCATTGAGGTTTTGATTTGGATTTCCCTGATGCCGAGCAATGTTGAGCACTTTTTCATGTGTCTGTTGGCCATTTGGATGTCTTCTTTGGAAAAATGTCTGTTCATGTCTTCTGCCCATTTCTTGATTGTGTTATTTGTTCTGTGGGGGTTGAGTTTGATAAGTTCTTTATAGATTTTGGATACTAGCCCTTTATCTGACATGTCATTTGCAAATATCTTCTCCCATTCTGGCAGTTGTCTTTTGGTTTTGTTGACTGTTTCCTTTGCTGTGCAAAAGCTTTTTATCTTGATGGAGTCCCAATAGTTCATTTTTGCCCTTGCTTCCCTTGCCTTTGGCGATGTTTCTAGGAAGAAGTTGCTGCGGCTGAGGTCAAAGAGGTTGCTGCCTGTGTTCTCCTCTAGGATTTTGATGGATTCCTGTCTCACATTTAGGTCTTTCATCCATTTTGAGTCTACTTTTGTGTGTGGTGTAAGGAAATGGCCCAGTTTTATTCTTCTGCATGTGGCTGTCCAATTTTCCCAACACCATTTGTTGAAGAGACTGTCTTTTTTCCATTGGACATTCTTTCCTGCTTTGTCGAAGATTAGTTGACCATAGAGTTGAGGGTCCATTTCTGAGCTCTCTGTTCTGTTCCATTGATCTATGTGTCTGTTTTTGTGCCGATACCATACTGTTTTGATGATTACAGCTTTGTAATAGAGCTTGAAGTCCAGAATTGTGATGCCACCAGCTTTGCTTTTCTTTTTCAACATTCTTCTGGCTATTTGGGGTCGTTTCTGGTTCCATACAAATTTTAGGATTATTTGTTCCATTTCTTTGAAAAAAGTGGATGGTATTTTGATAAGGATTGCATTAAATGTGTAGATTGCTCTAGGTAGCGTTGACATCTTCACAGTATTTGTTCTTCCAGTTCCATGAGCATAGAACATTTTTCCATTTCTTTGTGTCTCCCTCAATTTCTTTCATGAGTATTCTATAGTTTTCTGAGTACAGATTCTTTGCCTCTTTGGTTAGATTTATTCCTAGGTATCTTATGGTTTTGGGTGCAATTGTAAATGGGATCGACTCTTTAATTTCTCTTTCTTCTGTCTTGTTGTTGGTGTATAGAAATGCAACTGATTTCCGTGCATTGATTTTATATCCTGCCACTTTACTGAATTCCTGTATGAGTTCCAGCAGTTTTGAGGTGGAGTCTTTTGGGTTTTCCACATAAAGTATCATATCGTCAGCAAAGAGTGAGAGTTTGACTTCTCCTTTGCCAATTCGGATGCCTTTGATTTCTTTTTGTTGTCCGATTGCTGTGGCTAGGACTTCTAATACTATGTTGAATAGCAGTGGTGATAGTGGACATCCCTGCCGTGTTCCTGACCTTAGGAGAAAAGCTCTGTTTTTCCCCCATTGAGAATGATATTTGCTGTGGGTTTTTCATAGATGGCTTTTATGATGTTGAGGTATGTACCCTCTATCCCTACAGTGTGAAGAGTTTTAATCAAGAAAGGATGCTGTACTTTGTCAAATGCCTTTTCTGCATCTACTGAGAGGATCATATGGTTCTTGTTCTTTCTTTTATTAATGTATCACATTGATTGATTTGCGGATGTTGAACCAACCTTGCAGCCCAGGGATAAATCCCACTTGGTCATGGTGAATAATCCTTTTAATGTACTGTTGGATCCTATTGGCTAGTATTTTGGTGAGAATTTTCACATCCATGTTCATCAGGGATATTGGCCTGTAATTCTCCTTTTTGATGGGGTCTTTGTCTGGTTTTGGGATCAAGGTAATGCTGGCCTCATAAAATGAGTTTGGAAGTTTTCCTTCCATTTCCATTTTTTGGAACAGTTTCAGAAGAATAGGTATTAATTCTTCTTTAATTGGTATTTGGTAGAATATCCCTGGGAAGGCATCTGGCCCTGGGCTCTTGTTTGTTGGGAGATGTTTATTACTGCTTCAATTTCCTTAGTGGTTATGGGTCTGTTCAGGTTTTCTGTTTCTTCCTGGTTCAGTTTTGGTAGTTTATACATCTCTAGGAATGCATCCATTTCTTCCAGATTATCTAATTGGTTGGCATATAGTTGCTCATAATATGTTCTTATAATTATTTGTATTTCTTTGGTGTTGGTTGTGATCTCTCCTCTTTCATTCATGATTTTGTTTATTTGGGTCGTTTCTCTTTTCTTTTTGATAAGTCTGGCCAGGGGTTTATCAATCTTATTAATTCTTTCAAAGAACCAGCTCCTGGTTTTGTTGATCTGTTCTACTGTTCTTTTGGTTTCTATTTCATTGATTTCTGCTCTGATCTTTATTATTTCTCTTCTCCTGCTGGGTTTAGGCTTTATTTGCTGTTCTTTCTCCAGCTCCTTAGGTGTAGGGTTAGGTTGTGTTTTTGAGACCTTTCTTGTTTCTTGAGAAAGGCTTGTATTGCTATATACTTTCCTCTTAGGACTGCCTTTGCTGCAAAGATTTTGCAGCAGTTGTGTTTTCATTTTCATTTGTGTCCATGATTTTTTTCAATTCTTCTTGAATTTCTTGGTTGACCCATTCATTCTTTAGTAGGATGCTCTTTAGCCTCCATGTATTTGAGTTCTTTCCGACTTTCCTCTTGTGATTGAGTTCTAGTTTCAAAGCATTTTGGTCCGAAAATATGCAGGGAATGATCCCAATCTTTTGATACTGGTTGAGACCTGATTTGTGACCTAGGATGTGATCTATTCTGGAGAATGTTCCATGGGCACTAGAGAAGAATGTGTATTCTGTTGCTTTGTGATGGAATATTCTGAATAGACCTGTGAAGTCCATTTGGTCCAGTGTGTCATTTAAAGCCTTTATTTCCTTGTTGATCTTTTGCTTAGATGATCTGTCCATTTCAGTGAGGGGGGTGTTAAAGTCCCCTACTATTATTGTATTGTTGGTGGTGTGTTTCTTTGATTTTGTTATTAATTGGCTTATATAATTGGCTGCTCCCATGTTAGGGGCATAGATATTTACAATTGTTAGATCTACTTTAAGTATGATGTAGTGTCCTTCCTCATCTCTTATTGTAGTCTTTGGTTTAAAATCTAATTTGTCTGATAGAAGGATTGCCACCCCAGCTTTCTTTTGATGTCCATTAGCATGGTAAATTGTTTTCCACCCCCTCACTTTCAATCTGGAGGTGTCTTTGGGTCTAGAATGAGTCTCTTGCAGACAGCATATCAATGGGTCTTATTTTTTTATCCAATCTGATACCCTGTGTCTTTTTTGGGGGCATTTAGCCCATTTACATTCAGGGTCAATATTGAAAGATATGAATTTAGTGCCATAAAACACTTCACTTTAATTTTTTCCAGTTTAGGTAGATTTCTACACAGGATGGTTCTCTTAATGGATAGAGCTATAAAATACAGAGTGTTCTGCTGTAACAAATTCACAAATAGAATAATTTTAGAATAAAAGATCCTTATTTATAAAGATTATCTCATCCACTTATTTAGAAGAACATTTTGCAGATCACTGGATATTCTCTTCAAGGCAACAACAACAAAAATGTGGAGCAGGGTAAAAGGAGATGGTATAAGACAAAGCAGCCCATTTTTTAAAAAGATTTTCATAATGTTGCTCAGTTTTGTTGCAAGCATTTTGACTTTTCAGGCCAATAGACAAACCTATCCAAAGTAATTATGACCTTATGAAAAGTTATCCTAAAACTAAGGGAAATGATTTGGGACGATTATTTATGTACAGAGCCTGTTCATTGTTGTGCATGATTAGGTAGGCACTTCTCTGGGAAGCCTTCTCTTTAGATGGACTTAGTTACTCTGTTCTCTGCCTTGCTCTCTCTTTCTTCATCTCGCTTTTAGTTTTTGCATGCATTTTGTTTGCTTCTATACCTCCTTTCTACTGAAATGTGAACCCTTGGAAGTCAAAAACTGTCTTAATTTGACTTTTTATTCCTAGAGGTTATGATGTGGCACTTAGAAGGCACACAGTAAATGTTGGTTAATTACAGAACAGTCTTTATTAATGCTTTCAAATAACGATTGAATGACTTTTCCTGCACTTGGTTACATCATTTAATCCAGTGAGCTTAAAACTTGAGCATACATCAGAATCTCTAGAGGCTAGTTAAAACAGATTGTTGAGCCCAGACTTTGTTAGGAAATGGGTCTCCCTTGTAGCCCCATATTTGCTTTTCTAACAAGTTCCCAGGTGATGCTTCTGCTTTGGGGACCATATTTTGGGAACCACTGACTTAATTCAGTAATTCACCTCCCACCAACTCGCATGAAGGTACTAAATGTAAGAACATTTGTCTTTCAGGAAAAACGTTAGGGGAAAGAGCGATCACTACAGCACCCACAAATGGACATTGTCATCTGTGGTAAGTACATAGAACTTACGCAGTCTTTTAAAATTTTCATATACCTCTATATAAGTTACAATTGATTTTTAAGGTATAATTGACTCATTTTACCTGTCACATTCACTGAAAAATCTATTTAGTAGATAGCACAGTAACTGTTCTTATTCTTATGTATTTTGTAGTATGTACATTTTAAATACATTCACTGAAAATTTCATAAGTGAATCTACCAAGTGCAGCACCTTTGAACATGATAAATTCTAATTAAATATAATTTAACGTTTTGTTTGGAAACAACTACTGAAGTGATATCATGTTCCTAAATGAAATGTTGGAAGAATGCTTCAAAGAATAAAAGCATGTCACTCATTTCTTATACCTTAGTGAGTCCATGTGTACAAATTCTACAGGTCAAAGAGAAGCCACTTTTAATATAAGAAATATAATATAAAAAAGCTCAAAGGGAATTTAATTTGTGGGGTAGGTGAATATCCTTGGGGAAACGAAATTATTCTTGAATATGTTTTGTTTTAGATCCTTTGTATATTTAAAATTATAAAACACAAATAAGAAGAAATATATTGTTTTATTTTTTTTTTAAAAGATTTTATTTATTTATTCATGAGAGAGAGAGAGAGAGAGGCAGAGGGAGAAGCAGACTTCCCGCAGAGCGGGGAGCCCGATGCGGGACTCGATCCCAGGACTCCAGGATCATGACCTGAGCCGAAGGCAGACGCTTAACCATCTGAGCCACCTAGGCGCCCGAAATATATTGTTTTAAATTAACACTCTGTGGTTGCATTTTTTTTAAAGATTTTATTTATTTATTTATTTAAGAGAGAAAAAGAACATGAGCCGGGTGAGGGGCAGAGGGAGAAGCAGACTCCCCACTGAGCAGGAAGCCCAGTGCGGGGATCATCACAACCTGAGCCAAAAGCAGACACAACCAGCCGAGCCACCCAGGCGCCCCTGTGGTTGCATTTTTATATCTTTTAGTTCCTTACAGCAATACTGCTACTTCAGGTGCTAGGAAGATAACAATAATAAGTTAATTTGTGACCCTTCTCTCAGACCTAGGCTTCCAAAAATCTACCTCTCTTCGGGATTATTTTTATTCTTCTGGAGCACTTTTAGGCAAAAGTCTCTCTCAAAATGGCTCCCTTTCTGCAGGTCCGCATTTGCCCCATAGGAAATTCATTTTCATTCCACCAGCTAACTCTGAAATGCAAACGATTTTCCCAAAGCAGACCTGTTTCTTTACTCTGCCACCAGCAGGGGGAGCTCCACTCACACGCTCATCTTAAAGCTTCTCTGGTTCGGAGTCCCGTAAGGGACACGGGCCAAAATAATCAAGTCTTTTGATCTGCCCTCACTTGGCTTAAGATGAGGCGCAAACCTCCCTCCTGCCCCGTCCCATGAGAAGGTGGGAGGTAGAACCCACAGTCCCCTAACAATGCTATCCACAGGAATCCTTTACTTTCCCTTCTATAGCCTGGAGAAGGGTGAAGGGCTGAGCCTGGCAGAACCTATGAATCATTTCCTTAGCATGTCATGTACTGGCAATAGAGCATCTTGCTTTAGGAATGGGAGCACCTAATAAAGTATTGTTCTATGCCCCTGGTACCTCTGCCACAACTCTAGGAGAAAGGCAGTTTTGCAGTTAACATCCTGGTACATATCTTTAAGATCATTTTCCCAGGATGCAAGGGTCTTGGCTATTATTTATATAGCCAAATATACCTTCCCATCTAATTTGCACATTAGTATTAATAAATTAACATATGTATGCATTAAGGTACTTCTGTTCTTCCACTTTTAGTCGTAACTAATGAATTTGTGCTGATAAGCCACACGCTCTTCATCTCCTTTGATGCTGGAGCTGTTTGGGAGCTGGTTGGCCAGGTTTCGATGCAGAAAGAACCCCCAAGCCCTACTCTTTTTTTTTTTTTTTAATTAAAACATAGGCTTTATATTTTCATCACAAAGATGGCTGATATTATTAATTTTCAACAGCTATCCAGGAAGAACAACAGTTTATATGCTGTTTCAGTGAGCTATTGTCACAATAATGCTGAATGGTGCATATGGTTTTAAACCACAGTCATCTATCCTTCGGGATGTGCATGGCTTGCACAGCCCTGCTGTACACCTCTCAGCCTCTTTCTGAGATGAGCCACCTGGATGGGGCATGTTCTTCTTTTTTTTTTTAATTTTTTTATTCTTATATTATCCCCATACATTGCATCATTAGTTTTAGATGTAGTGTTCCATGATTCATTGTTTGTGCATAACACCCAGTGCTCCATGCAGAATGTGCCCTCCTCAATACCCATCACCAGGCTAACCCATCCTCCCACCCCCCTCCCCTCTAGAACCCTCAGTTTGTTTTTCAGAGTCCATCATCTCTCATGGTTCGTCTACCCCTCCGATTTCCCCCCCTTCATTCTTCCCCTCCTGCTACCTTCTTCTTCTTCTTTTTTTTTTTTCTTAACATATATTGCATTATTTGTTTCAGAGATACAGATCTGTGATTCAACAGTCTTGCACAATTCATAGCGCTTACCAGAGCACATACCCTCCCCAGTGTCTATCACCCAGTCACCCCATCCCTCCCACCCCACCCCCCACTCCAGCAACCCTCAGTTTGTTTCCTGCGATTAAGAATTCCTCATAGGGGCGCCTGGGTGGCTCAGTTGGTTAAGCGACTGCCTTCGGCTCAGGTCATGATCCTGGAGTCCCTGGATCGAGTCCCGCATCGGGCTCCCTGCTCGGTGGGGAGCCTGCTTCTGCCTCTGACCCTCCTCCCTCTCATGTGCTCTCTCTTTCTCATTCTCTCTGTCTCAAATAAATAAATAAAATCTTTAAAAAAAAAAAAAAGAATTCCTCATATCAGTGAGGTCATATGATACATGTCTTTCTCTGTTTGACTTATTTCGCTCAACATAATACTCTCCAGTTCCACCCACATCGTTGCAAATGGCAAGATCTCATTCCTTTTGATGGCTGCATAATATTCCATTGTATATATATACCACATCTTCTTTATCCATTCATCTGTCGATGGACATCTCGGCTCTTTCCACAGTTTGGCTATTGTGGACATTGCTGCTATAAACATCGGGGTGCACGTACCCTTTCAGATCCCTACTTTTGTATCTTTGGGGTAAATACCCAGTAGTGCAATTGCTGGATCATATCCCCAAGCCCTACTCTTAACTCTGAGCTCCTCCTCCTCCTCCACATCCTCCCCCTCCCACTGCATTGCTCTTCCTCTGTTGTCCTCTTCCTTGTCCCATACATAGATCTGCATCCATGAAGAATCACATTTAAAATGTACAGTGGATTTCAATCCTTAGTTTGAGGGCATTTATCTGTGTAAGCTTCAAATTTTCATAGAGGAACAATGTTGTGTCTTCTCTGGGGGCTTCATAAGTACCTTGAAATCTATCTTGTAAGAAGAAATTATACATAACTCTGCCCTAGTAGGCTACCCAGTCTGTCGTACGCTAGTCTGGCTACTTTTCATTTGTTCATCTTCTTTCACTTTTTGTTGTGAATGGATTGCCTTGTTTACAACTATGGTATTTGACTCCAAGTTTAAATCTTACATATACACACACACACACACACACACACAGTAATGATCTGTGTTGCACATGATATCTTATTCAGTATCAGTTTTAAACTAAAAAAGAATGTTAAAATCTATTCAGTTGATAAAATTTAACAAATTCAAATGTCAATTTATCTTAGTTCTTAGAATGTATTATAATGTATGTAGTGAATACAAGAGTTTTCATTCAGTTACATAGGAGAGGTTTAGGGTCATGATAAAAGAGAAATTAAAACTTTGACTTGAGAAGCAGTGGTTAAAATTTAGCTTAACTGATTCCATGATTAATTGTAGTAAAATATCATTTAAAAATCTTTTTCAGGATGTTAAGACATATTCTCATTCATTCAGCACAAATGACAAACTACAGTCCGGGGCCAACTGCCTATTTTTGTAGTTTTATTGGTGCCCAGCCACACCTGTGCATTTGTGTATAGCAATGAGGTTGAATAGTTGCGACCTTGACTATCTGACCCCAAAGCTTAAAATGTTTGCTACAAATTCTGTTGTTTTTGTTGTACCCAGCCTAAAATACTTCTAGAACCAAGAGAGTAAAGTCACTGTGGATTTACAGTTTGTTAGCACAATAGGCCTGACCTTAATTACAAATAATGTCTTACATATTTGTTGTGCTCTACTGTTCACAAATTATATCCACATGCCTTACAGCACATGAGTCACAGAACAACCTGTTTCCATTTTATAGATAAGGTAGTGTGTCTAGGGGGCGTATGGGGGGAATATGCTGATTGGTATGCAAGAGTCACACAATAAATAGAAAAACAAAAACCAGATCTTTTATTCTTACTCAGTATTTTTTCTATTACATTATTTTTCCACTGCTTTCCCACAGTATAAATAGCATTTGTGCTGAATCAGAAGTATGCAGGGAAACTAACGGGGTTATTTTAGTAATTGTTAAAACAAGAATGTTGGTCATTTATTAAAGATATATTCAATATCAATGCAAAGAAAATCAGAATTTTTGTCAAAGCCTGTATGGTGAGAATGACCTCTAGGTGGAGGTAATAAACCATATTGTGAATTAACATTCTTCAGAGTTCCGGTCCACTTGAGATGGTTCACAAAATAAAATTTTAAATTACATGTTTAAAGATGAACAGCATAAAAGAACAAAAACACAGAGATACACAGAGACATAAGTGGAACTGATCGCCAGAAAAGAAGTGATGATGCTTTGAGAAAAAGTGGTCAGATGAACTTTGAACTTAGGCTATGTAGGAAGATAGACAATATTTTAGACTTTAAAGAAACAGACTTCAAGGGGTGCCTGGGTGGCTCAGTCGGTTAAGCATCGATTCTTGATCTCAGCTCAGAAAAAAAAAGAAAAGAAAGAAACAGAGTTCAAAAAAGATTATGAAAAGCATTAAGACTGATTATTTATAAGGGAAATACTCATATTTCATATAATGGTATTCATAAGTCCTAGGGGTTTTTTTTCCCTTTTGTCCTCACTCGGAGTAGCTTAAAGAGAGTTTGCTGACAGAGCAGTGTCTGTGCCTAATGCTGCGCACGAAGTCATTCTGACGCTGACGTTTAGCATCAGTAGATAATGGATCCCACCACTCCAGATCAGTGAACATACATTATTTTCTTTTGATTCCAGCACAGATATTTGAGTTGTTCTATAAATCTCTGGATTAGAAAGTTCAAATAGATCCTTCAGATTTTTCTAAAAATGTGACATGATTTGGTTTTTATTTCTTTGCCAGCATGTAGAGTAGGGAAATTGAGCTAGTATATCTGGATTTAAGCAAGGCATTCATGTAAGTTTACCAATAACATTCTTGTGGACAAGATGTAAAAATGTGGGCAAGCCTCTGGGTTACCGACATAGAGAGAAGGGTTCAAGCCTCAGCTATTCAACAGAATAACTGTTGGCAACATCATTGTCAAGCTGGAGGTGATTCTAGGGTTTCAGATCTGTATCTTAGACACTAGAGTGTTCCATAATTTTGTCAGTGGGTAAAGATATAATAGGTATGTTTATAAAAGTTGCAAGTAACACAGAACTAGGAGGAAGAGGATGTATGACGAATGACAATAATAATTCAAAAGATTTTCACATGTGTGAATTAATAGGGATAAATGTGGAAGGAGGGATGGAGAGAGAAGTGTCAACATTTAACTTAGGGAAAAACAGACAAGAATTTGAATAAAGCATGGAGTTTAGTTAATAATAATGTACTACTATTGGTACATTGTAAAAATTATGTATCAGTATTGTTTGACAGTATTGGTACACTTGTGATAAATGTACTCTAGTAATGTAAGATGTAAACAGTAGGGAAAACCCAATATGGGTATATATATGGGAACTCTCTGTAACATCTTTGCAATCTCAGGCTATTTTAAAATAAAAGCTTATTTTTTTTTAAAAGTGGCCTAAGGTTTTAAGTCCAAATGCGTCAGAAAATGATAATGCCCATAACAAAAATGGGAGAACTTGGGGAAGTAGTTGTATGGAATTTTGCTCCACTTTCTGGAACTCCCCGGGAGGAATGATAGAACAAAATGCCAGAGAGCATTTCAAAAGAACATGGTGAGGCTGGAGGTGACGATAGCAGTTTTACAAGGAAACTCATGAGTCTTTTTCCAGTCATCTTTTCCTACATGCTCGATCTCTGGTGGGTGCAGAGATGTATGTGTAATGTAGTCTGATTATGGAATTTGTGAATAGTAGTATCTCCTAATCTAGTTAAGTTCTCAGATCACTTTTGATAGGTTGGTTTAGTCATCATTCTTGTTTGTACTCTAGCAGATTTGGTTGATTATATAGAAACTGAAAATTCAGAGGTCAAACTAGTCATAACTGAAAAGTGACTGTTTTATTGGTTGTCGTAAGTTGTGTGAATTATGTGATCTTTTGTGTTCAGGAAGGGTCTTACTGTTCCAAATTAAGAAAATCGTTCACTTCATTTTTGTACTTGAAAGTTATGCTTATCTACAGAAATGATTGAGATAAATACCCAAAATTACATCTTTCATTTCAGTTATGACAATGCAAGTAAAAATTAATACTTACTCTTGAAATATTTAGGTAAATGAATATTTTGTCTCAGACAGAAACACTCTGAAATACTCTGGAGATTTTGCACAGACAGAAACATTCTAGATATAAAAAGTAATATATCCCCAGATTTTGGAGTGAGCAAATTGCTGAACAAATATTGCACTCAATTTATGTCAGATAATTATTGATGTAACTTTTGTATTCCCCGTGGGGGGGGGGAAGTAAACAATTAATGGGATGCGCTATTCTAATATGCAGTGTTTCCAAGGAAAGATTGAAGGTCATGGGGAATTTTTCGGGAAAGTATATTCTGAAATTACCTTTGACATTGTTTTAGTCATGATATTTATTTTTGTTTTCAGATGACGTTAAGGGAGGCTGTGAAATTTTTCTTTTTCTTTTTATTGAGGAGGAACAGGGATATCATGATACAATATATTTTTCAATTTATTACTTGTGTGACTAGACTTTTTCAGAGAGCCTCTTTGTGACTTTGCTGTTGATGATGGTGATAGCAGAAGCTCATATTTCTTGGAACTCACTATGTGCCAGGTAGTAGTCTAAACACTTATGTGTTTTGGGTGTTTTGCCCTCACGACATACATATGAGATAGATGGTGTTAGTCTCCCCAGTTATAGGTGAGGAAACTGGCCTCATGTTCATGTCAGATGTTTTTTATTTTTAGGGCCCTTGCATCTATATGACTACTTCTCTCAAATATTAATGAATGCTTTAGAGATATTTTTTAAATGTTACATTTGGTGGTATTTGATTAAAAGTTCACACGCTATCCACTGTTTTTACCCTTTTCAGGTATGCGGTTTTGTGTGGCTATGTATCTGAGTTTGAGGGCTTACAAAACAAAATCAACTATGGACATCGCTTCAAGGTATTTCTTGATATTAAAAATATTTTAATGTAGCTGTATGTTCCCTTAAAAGATATAAATCAAATTATTCAATGAATTAATCTTAAGGAATTTATCTTTTTTATTTAAATGAAGTGACAGTTTTTTCATCATACTGTGTGAAAAAGAATGAAACTATATGGGAGATTGAGGATTATTATTATTCTGGATCTTGACAGAAGTCACATAGTAGATGAGTATTACTTTTTCAAAGACTGAGGATTAGTCTTTTGGTCATGAACTCACCAACATCATCAACATGACTGGAACTAATTAGTTAACACTTCTTGCATATTGATTTGGTGGGAGGAATAGAATCCAATCTAAGACTTAAACTTAACATGATAAGTGAATAAAATAAATAATGTATATGTACATCATTTATAATGTACCTCTAGCTTTGATAGCTCAATATAAATGGTCAGAGTTTGCCTTCCAGCTCCCTATAACAATTATAATAATGTCAGGGGAATAGATTCCTCCACCACCTAGCTCTGCTATTCTTTCCCCCGTTATATCCCCATCACTTGATATTTGCAAACATGCTTCCTAATAGTAAGTATTAGCTAGGCAAGGCATGGGAAGACAAAAATGTCACTCGGATGTTTTCTATTTTTATAGTGACATTTGCCTTTAAATTATCCATAGTTTAATTAAATCATAGTCACAATCTGGTTCTACTTGTGAGCAGTCATTCCTGATAATTGAATTATTGATAAGACTTACTTGTATTAATGATAGGGATTGAGGAGGAGAACCAAACAACAGTGTAAAGCCCCTTTGAACTTACTAGGCATACTTCCATTCAATGCTGCCTGGAATCTGAGTGATGGTATTTGTTTTGGATTTTTTTTCAGGAACATCTAGATAAAGCAATCCAATTTTTACCTGAAGAACCCTTTTTGTATTACCTCAAAGGAAGATACTGTTATACTGTGAGTTGAATGTTTTGATCTATAAATCTTGTTTAAATATACTATGATTACAGGATATATTTCCAATGAACACTTATTCTTTAAGTGTTTTACCTAGTGCCTACTGTAGGGAAAATGATAAAATCAGTACATATTTTATGAGTTTATGATTGATTTGTTTATATACTGTGTTACATACAGTATATGATTTTATATATATGTGTGTGTGTGTATGTGTGTGTGTATATATACACACACATATATATCTGTATTTTTCGCCTGACCACCTCTCTGTTTCCCCTGGCAGCAATCACATGTCCCCTCTGTGCTCTCAGTTGGTGATCAGCCACCTACACACATGTGTACTACTCTTTGTCTTGTGAGAGGACTTTTTCATTTATCAGAGCATGTTGAGCATAAATTATGTGCCCACTGTTCTTGTCTTCAAAGAACTGAGTTTAGAAAGACACATGAAACATATAGAAATAAATCAAGGCAGCTAGCTAGTCTAAGATCCAGTGTCTTAAATGACGTTAGTTTATAGAGAATTAACAGAATGTGAAAATCTATCTTAAGAGATGCATGAAAAATTATTCTGAAGAGAAATGCTATTTCTGAATGAAAAAATTAGCATAAGCAAAAGAAGAAGCTTTTTAATTGAGGTTTGAGGATTAAGAATGGAGAAGGAAGCTCTTTTATTGAACACCTGCTATGTATCAACTGTGTGTCAAATCCTTAAAACATCCCTGTAAGCAGTTTTTATTATGCCAGTTTTAAATATTAGGAATCTGAGTCTTCATTAAGGTAGAAGACCCCTCAAGCTTAAAAACCATTGACCCAACCTCACATGAGTCTGGGGCTTGAATGTACATTATTTGTTTAGGCTTAAAAGAAATAAATCTGGAAAGACCACATCTACATGGAGGTTAAATAACATGCTACTAAACAGTGAATGGATCAACCAAGAAATCAAAGAAGAAATAAAAAAACACATGGAGACAAATGAAAATGAAAACACAATAATCCAAAATCTTTGAGATGCAGCAGAAGTGATTCTAAGAGGGAAGTGTATAGCAACACAGGCCTACCTCCAGAAACAAGAAAAATCTCAAACAACCTAAGCTTACACCTAAAAGAGCTAGAAAAAAGAAGAACAAAACCCAAATACAGCAGAAGGAAGGAAATAATGATTAGAGCAGAAATAAATGATATTGAGACTAAAAAAAAAATAGAATGGATCAATGATATCAGGATTGGTTCTTTGAACAGATAAACAAAATTGATAAATCTCTAGCTAGACTCATCCAAAAAAAAAAAAAAAAAAGGACTCAAATAAACAAAATCAGAAACAAAAAAAGGAGAAATAACAACTGACCCCACAGAAAAAGGATTATAAGAGAATATTGTGAAAAATTATATGCCAACAAACTGGACAACCTAGAAGAAATGGATAAATTCCTAGAAACATAAAACTTACTGAAACTGAAACAGGAAGAAATAGAAAATTTGAACGGACCAATTACCAGCAATGAAATTGAATCAGTAATCAAAAAACTCCCAACAAAAAAAGTCCAGATGTCTTCACAGGTGAATTCTATCATATATTTAAAGAAGAGCTAATACCTGTTCTTCTCAAACTTTTCTAAAAAATAGCACAGGAAGGAAAACCGAATTCATTCTAATAGGTAAGCATTATCCTGATTCCAAAACCAGTTAAAGACACAACAACAAAAAAGAAGTACAGGCCAATATCTCTGATGAACATAGATGCAGAAATCCTCAACAAAATATTAGCAAGACAAATCCAACAATACATTCAAAAAATCATATTCACCATGATCAGTGGGATTTATTCCTGGAATGCAAGGGTGGTTCAGCATTTGCAAATCAATCAGTGTGATACATCACATTATTAAGAGAAAGGATAAAAACCATATGATCATTTCAATAGATGCAGAAAAAGCATTTGACAGAGTACAATATCCATTCATGATAAAAACCCTCAACAAAGTTGGTTTAGAGGGAACATACCTCAACATAATAAAGGCCTTATATGAAAAATCCACAGCTAATGTTTTATACTCAATGGTGAAAAACAGAGCTTTTCCCCTAAGATCAGGAACAAGACAGGGATGCCCATTCTCACTACTTTTATTCAACAAAGTACTGTAAGTCCTAGCCACAGCAATCAGATAACGGGAAGAAATAAAAGGTTTCCAAATTGGTAAGGAAGAAGTAAAAAATTTCACTATTCACAGATGAGATGATACTATATACAGAAAACCCTAAGGACTCCACCAAAAAACTACTAGCACTCATAAATGAATTCAGTAAGATCATAGGATACAAAATCCCCATGTATAGAAATCTGTTGCATTTCTAAAAAGCAGAAAGAGATATTAAGAAAACAATCCCATTTATAATCACAAAAATAATAAAATACCTAAGAATAAACTTAACCAAAGAGGTAAAAAGACCTGTACTCTGAAAACTATAAAAAATTGATGAAAGAAATTAAAGATGACCCAAAGAAATAGGAAGACATTCCATGCTTATGGATTGAAAGAACAAATACTGTCAAACTGTCTATACTACCCAAAGCAATCTATAGACTTAATGCAATCCCTAGCAAAGTACCAACAGCATTTTTCACAGAACTAGAACAAACAATCCTAAAATTTGTATGGAACCACCCAAATAGCCAAAGCAATCTTGAAAAAGGAAACCAAGATTGGCAGTATCACAATTCCAGGTTTCAAGTTATATTACAAAGCTGTATTAAACAAAACAGTATGTTACTCACACAAAAATAGATGCATAGATCAATAGAACAGAATAGAAAGCCCAGAAGCAAACCCACAATTACTTGGTCAATTAATCTTCGACAAAGGGAGACAAGAATATACAATGGGAAAAAGAGTCTCTTCAACAAATGATATTGGGAAAACTGAACAGCTACATGCAAAAGAATGAAACTGGACCACTTTCTTACATCATATACCACAAAAACTCAAAATGGACTAAAGACCTAAATATGAGGCCTGAAACCATAAAAATCCTAGCAGGGAGCACAGATAGTAATTTCTCTGACATTGGCCATAACAATATCTTTCTAGATGTGTCTCCTGAGGCAAAGAAAACAGAAGCAAAAATAAACTATTGGATCTACATCAAAATAAAAAGTTTCTGCATAGGGAAGGAACCAACCAACAAAACTAAAAGACAACCTACTGAATGGGGAAGGTATTTGCAAATAACATATCCAATAAAGGGCTCATGTCTAAAATACATAAAGAACTGATACAACCCAACACTCAAAACCAAATAATCCAATTTAAAATGGGCAGAAGACATGAACAGACATGTCTCCAAAGAAGAAATACAGATGGCCAGGGCACCTGGGTGGCTCAGTCATTAAGCATCTGCCTTCAGCTCAGATCATGGTCCCAGGGTCCTGGGATCAAGCCCCACAATGGGCTCCCTGTGCAGTGGGGAGCCTGCTTCTCCCTCTCCCACTCCCCCTGCTTGTGCTCCTGCTCTCACTATCTCTGTCTGTCAAATAAATAAATAAAATCTTAAAAAAAAAAAAAGAGAGAGATACAGATGGCCAACAGACACATTTGGAAAGATGCTCAACATCACTCATCATCATGGAAATACAAATCAAAATCACAATGGGATATCTCGTCTCTCATTGTGAGATACCTCACATCTATTAGAATGGCTAAAATCAAAAACACAAGAAATAACAAGTGTTGGCGAGGATGTAGAGAAATAGGTGCCCTCATGCACTATTGGTGGGAATGCAAACTGGTGCAGACACTGAAGATAGTACAGAGGTTCCTCAAAAAATTAAAAATAGAACTACCCTATGATCTAGTAATTGCACTACTCAGTACCCAAAGAATACAAAAACTTTAATTCAAAGGGATACATGCACCTCAATGTTTATTGTAACATATTTTCAATAGCCAAATTATGGAAGCAACCTAAGTGTCCATCAATAGATGAATAGATAAAGAAGTGGTATATTATACCACATAATGGAATATTATTCAACCATAAAAAAGAATGAAATTTTGCGATTTGCAGCAACATGGACCTAGACTATAATGCTAAGCGAAATAAGTTAGTCAGAGAAAGACGAATACCATATGATTTCACTCATATGTGGAATTTAAGAAACAAAACAAATGAACAAGGGAACTAAAAAGAGACAAACCAAAAAGCAGACTCTTAACTACAGAGAACAAATAGATGGTTATCAGAAGTGAGGTGGGTGAAATAGATGAAGGGGATGAAGAGTACACTTCTATTGTAGAGCACTGAGTAATATATGGAATTGTTGAATCACTATATCGTACACCTGAAAAGAATAAAACACTGTATGTTAACTATACTGGAATTAAAATGGGGGATAAAAGGAAGCAAAAAATAAATGATAATATGAAATTTAATTTTGGTGGTTGCTGGTTAAAAAAATTTTCTCCTGGATTGTAAATATGTATACTGGGCCCTCACTCTATACTCCCTCTGGGTTAAGAATCCTTCTTCTATTTACACTTCTGAGATGCTGTGTTCTGGGTCAGGTTGGCAGGAAGGAAGCAAAGTTGGGGTCTCCTCCACTCTGTGCAAAGAAACTCTGTGCAAAGAAATACTGTGTGGTCATCTCAGAATCTTGAATCACATAAACAAACAGGATCAGCATTATTCCCCATCCCTTTCTCTGATTGAACACAAATCTTATCATGAGTATTTCAGATTGATTTGGTAACCAGTGCTTTTAGAGCTCATAGTTTATTAGAACTATAAAAAAAGGAAGGTAAAATATTAATACCATAAAGATGACCTCTGTCATGTATATTATGTATGGATATGTTTATATTTATATATTCTATGCATATACATACATATACACCTACACACACACGTCTAATTGAGGAGAGATGATTCTTTCAAAAGGGGAACCACTTTCTAAGAATGATGTCGCCTCCATGTTTGCAGGTCTCAAAACTGAGCTGGATTGAGAAAAAAATGGCTGCTACTCTGTTTGGAAAAATACCATCCTCAACTGTAGAAGAAGCTTTGCAAAATTTCCTTAAGGTATATTTTGTCTGTCTGTTATTTTAGTATCTAACTGGCTACTACCTGCACCAATCCCTCCTACCCTTCTCCGTGTGTAGATCTCTAACACAAGCCCCGGGTTGAATCCTAGTTTTGGCGTGTCCAGACTGCTTCCCCGAGCAGCTAGTTATGCCCTAGGTCCCATGTGCACAGCCCTTGCTACCAAATCCAAGAGCAGCTCTCCAGGTTGTGTGAGTATGTGCAAAAGCATTCATGCCCTGATTATTAGACTTGTTCCCCAGTAGTCCCAATTAGCCTAATATAGAAGCAGTTTGATCTTGAAGAACTAAAAGATACCAAAAGGGAGAGTTATATTTTAAAAGCCATTCCATAAGTTGCAGACAGTTCTATGGAACATGGGCATCAGACCAAACCAGTATTTTCATTCCTATCTTAAAATGTATAATTGCTAGGCTAATAAAACTCTAAACAGTAATAATGTATGTGTGCATATAATCAACTTCCTGATGGGCTAATCTCTTTATCTTTCTCTGGAAGCAATTATAGAATCTTATAGACACTAAGATGTCTTTTCTGTAACAATATAGACAAAATCAGGCTCTAAACTGTATTGTCCAACATATTATACATGCTCATACTTTTTTGTTGTATCTCAGGGTTTGATTTTGTAGAACTAAGAGGGAATTTAAAGAACATATATTCTAAGAGCGGAAATAGGTTTCATTGCACTTTCCATTTCTGAACAAATGAATGGTTAGCAGCTACCTACAATGCCCTGTGGAAAAAATAATTGTTCTGAGATCAAGCATGAGCCCAGTGGAAAAGATTGCAGGATGTAAAAGCACAGGGGCCAGACATGTCTTATTTTTTATTTAACGTGATCTTTTTTATTTTATAAAAAGGAAATCAAGACCTCAGGAACTTAATTTTTTCTAGTGTCACACAATGGCAGACCGAAGATATGCATGTAGTCCAAGACTGTATCATCACCATTTCATCACCTTTTATCTACCACTGAGAATTAGTTCTTTCATTTTACATTTTATAAGAATATAGATCATGGTATATTTAAGATAGTTCATAGATGGTGCTAAGCTAATTAGGAAAAATGTCATTTGGACTTGAAACTCATTTCTTCATAGTATCAAAGTTATAAATGGGAGCTCAGGTTTTCAGGATGTTACACAGAAGTTCTTAAGGTGCTAATGTACCTGAAATATTAGCCAGATAAGATAAAAAATGATCAGAGGCCCAGTATTGTAGAGGTAAGGATTGCAACCTCTAGAACCAGACCACCTGGTTAAATCTCAGTTCTGCTGCTTACCAACTGATTAACATTGGACAAGTTTCTGTTTTTTTAATTTAATTTTATTATGTTATCTTAATAACACCCAGTGCTCCATTCAGTACATGCCCTCCTTAATACCCATCACCAGGCTAACCCATCCCCCCACCCCCGCCCCTCTAAAACCCTCGTTTATTTCTCAGAAATCCATAGTCTCTCATAGTTCGTCTCCCCCTCTGATTCCCCCCCTTCATTTTTCCCTTCCTACTGTCTTCTTTTTTTTTTTTTAACATATAATGTATTATTTGTTTCAGAGGTACAGGTCTGTGATTCATCAGTCTTACACAATTCACAGTGCTCACCATAGCACATACCCTCCCCAATGTCCATCACCCAGCCACCCCATCCCTCCCATCCCCCCACCACTCTAGTAACCCTCAGTTTGTTTCCTGAGATTAAGAATTCCTCATATCAGTGAGATCATATGATACTTGTCTTTCTCTGATTCACTTGTTTCACTTAGCATAATACCCTCTAGTTCCATCCACATCGTTGCAAATGGCAAGATTTCATTTTCTGTTTTTTTGATGGCTGCATAATATCCCATTGTATATATATACCACATCTTCTTTATCCATTCATCTGTTGATGGACATCTTGGCTCTTTCCACAGTTTGGCTATTGTGGACATTGCTGCTATAAACATTGGGGTGCACGTACCCCTTCAGATCACTACATTTGTATCTTTGGGGTAAATACCCAGTAGAGCAATTGCTGGGTCATAGGGTAGCTCTATTTTCAACTTTTTGAGGAACCTCCATATTGTTTTCCAGAGTGGCTGTCATTTCCTGACTTGTTAATTTTAGCCATTCTAACTGACCTCATTGAGGTTTTGATTTGGATTTCCCTGATGCCGAGCAATGTTGAGCACTTTTTCATGTGTCTGTTGGCCATTTGGATGTCTTCTTTGGAAAAATGTCTGTTCATGTCTTCTGCCCATTTCTTGATTGTGTTATTTGTTCTGTGGGGGTTGAGTTTGATAAGTTCTTTATAGATTTTGGATACTAGCCCTTTATCTGACATGTCATTTGCAAATATCTTCTCCCATTCTGGCAGTTGTCTTTTGGTTTTGTTGACTGTTTCCTTTGCTGTGCAAAAGCTTTTTATCTTGATGGAGTCCCAATAGTTCATTTTTGCCCTTGCTTCCCTTGCCTTTGGCGATGTTTCTAGGAAGAAGTTGCTGCGGCTGAGGTCAAAGAGGTTGCTGCCTGTGTTCTCCTCTAGGATTTTGATGGATTCCTGTCTCACATTTAGGTCTTTCATCCATTTTGAGTCTACTTTTGTGTGTGGTGTAAGGAAATGGCCCAGTTTTATTCTTCTGCATGTGGCTGTCCAATTTTCCCAACACCATTTGTTGAAGAGACTGTCTTTTTTCCATTGGACATTCTTTCCTGCTTTGTCGAAGATTAGTTGACCATAGAGTTGAGGGTCTATTTCTGGGCTCTCTGTTCTGTTCCATTGATCTATGTGTCTGTTTTTGTGCCAATACCATACTGTTTTGATGATTACAGCTTTGTAATAGAGCTTGAAGTCCGGAATTGTGATGCCACCAGCTTTACTTTTCTTTTTCAACATTCTTCTGGCTATTTGGGGTCGTTTCTGGTTCCATACAAATTTTAGGATTATTTGTTCCATTTCTTTGAAAAAAGTGGATGGTATTTTGATAAGGATTGCATTAAATGTGTAGATTGCTCTAGGTAGCATTGACATCTTCACAATATTTGTTCTTCCAATCCATGAGCATGAAACGTTTTTCCATTTCTTTGTGTCTTCCTCAATTTCTTTCATGAGTATTCTATAGTTTCTGAGTACAGATTCTTTGCCTCTTTGGTTAGATTTATTCCTAGGTATCTTATGGTTTTGGGTGCAATTGTAAATGGGATCGATTCCTTAATTTCTCTTTCTTGTGTCTTGTTGTTGGTGTATAGAAATGCAACTGATTTCCGTGCATTGATTTTATATCCTGCCACTTTACTGAATTCCTGTATGAGTTCCAGCAGTTTTGGGGTGGAGTCTTTTGGGTTTTCCACGTAAAGTATCATATCATCTGCAAAGAGTGAGAGTTTGACTTCTCCTTTGCCAATTCGGATGCCTTTGATTTCTTTTTGTTGTCCGATTGCTGTGGCTAGGACTTCTAATACTATGTTGAATAGCAGTGGTGATAGTGGACATCCCTGCCGTGTTCCTGACCTTAGGAGAAAAGCTCTGTTTTTCCCCCATTGAGAATGATATTTGCTGTGGGTTTTTCATAGATGGCTTTTATGATACTGAGGTATGTACCCTCTATCCCTACAGTGTGAAGAGTTTTAATCAAGAAAGGATGCTGTACTTTGTCAAATGCTTTTTCTGCATCTACTGAGAGGATCATATGGTTCTTGTTCTTTCTTTAATTAATGTATCACATTGATTGATTTACAGATGTTGAACCAACCTTGCAGCCCAGGGATAAATCCCACTTGGTCATGGTGAATAATCCTTTTAATGTACTGTTGGATCCTATTGGCTAGTATTTTGGTGAGAATTTTCACATCCATGTTCATCAGGGATATTGGTCTGTAATTCTCCTTTTTGATGGGGTCTTTGTCTGGTTTTGGGATCAAGGTAATGCTGGCCTCATAAAATGAGTTTGGAAGTTTTCCTTCCATTTCCATTTTTTGGAACAGTTTCAGAAGAATAGGTATTAATTCTTCTTTAAATGGTATTTGGTAGAATATCCCTGGGAAGGCATCTGGCCCTGGGCTCTTGTTTGTTGGGAGATGTTTGATTACTGCTTCAATTTCCTTAGTGGTTATGGGTCTGATCAGGTTTTCTATTTCTTCCTGGTTCAGTTTTGGTAGTTTATACATCTCTAGGAATGCATCCATTTCTTCCAGATTATCTAATTGGCTGGCATATAGTTGCTCATAATATGTTCTTATAATTGTTTGTATTTCTTTGGTGTTGGTTGTGATCTCTCCTCTTTCATTCATGATTTTATTTATTTGGGTCATTTTTCTTTTTGATAAGTCTGGCCAGGGGGTTATCAATCTAATTAATTCTTTCAGAGAACCAGCTCCTAGTTTTGTTGATCTGTTCTACTGTTCTTTTGGTATCTATTTCATTGATTTCTACTTTGATCTTTATTATTTCTCTTCTCCTGCTGGGTTTAGGCTTTATTTGCTGTTCTTTCTCCAGCTCCTTTAGATGTAGGGTTAGGTTGTGTATTTGAGACCTTTCTTGTTTCTTGAGAAAGGCTTATATTGCTATATACTTTCCTCTTAGGACCACCTTTGCTGCATCCCAAAGATTTTGAACAGTTGTGTTTTCATTTTCATTTGTTTCCATGAATTTTTTAAATTTTTCTTTAATTTCCTGGTTGACTCATTCATTCTTTAGTAGGATGCTCTTTAGCCTCCATGTATTTGAGTTCTTTCCAAATTTCTTCTTGTGATTGAGTTCTAGTTTCAAAGCATTTTGGTCCGGAAATATGCAGGGAATGATCCCAATCTTTTGATACAGGTTGAGACCTGATTTGTGACCTAGACTGTGATCTATTCTGGAGAATGTTCCACGGGCACTAGAGAAGAATGTGTATTCTGTTGCTTTGGGTTGGAATGTTCTGAATATACCTGTGAAGTCCATTTGGTCCAGTATGTCATTTGAAGCCTTTATTTCCTTGTTGATCTTTTGCTTAGATGATTTGTCCATTTCAGTGAGGCGGGGTGTTAAAGCGTTGGACAGGACAAGTTTCTTAACCTCTCTCTCAATTTAATCAATGACATGGAGATAATAGTACCTGACTCATAGTGTTGTCAAGATTCAATAAGTTAATACAAGGAAATTGCTTAGTGAGTGCCCATCACCTAGTAAGCTCAATAAAAGTTCACAGAATTTTAACTCCATTAAATTGTAAACATGCTGGCAAACCATCTTGGGGACCTCTCCATTCAGCATGACTTAGATTCTGTCTGAAAATGCATTTTGTGGTGTTTGTTGAGGGAGTGAGAAGGCATCAAGAAAGCCTCCCCCTGTACTGACTGCCACAGCTAAGAGTCCTTAGGAGCCCAGGGTGCTAAGGGCGAAGGCTGGGGAGTACGTAAGAAAACTGGGAGGTGGAGGGGAAGGAACTTGGCTCCCACACTCAAGGGGAGTCTGCAACCCTTGGTCCCAGCAGGAGGTTGTGGTTTTGGACCCGACTCCTGTCTCCAACTCTTTCCCTCCAAAGAGTGTTCACAGGGGCCAGGAATGTGTCCCCAGGCCATCCAGCTCAGTTCTGTAGTGATCCAGAGCACTGGCTTTAGAATCAGTTTGAGACCTGAGCCTTTTCCTGTCTATATGACCTAGCCATGTTTCTTTATTTCTCCTAATCTTAAATTCTTCATCTGTAAAGCAGGCATAATAATACCTACTTTATATGGTTTTTGTGAAGATACATAAAATAATACATGTAATTTTCTTAGCCCAGGGCCTAGCACATAAAGTACTCTAACTAAAAGTAAATGTTAGCTGCTATTATTTTGCTCTTATAACTGGTGAAATCTGATCCTCCACAGCATCACAGCATCTGGGAATGTGGTTTTAGACAGGAGTCATCTGTGAATCCCCTGTGGGAATTCTTTCAAACTATTGTATGCTTCCCACCTCATCCAAAATTCTGGCATGATTCCCTCCGGCAATGGTTCTCAACTTTAGGTATACATTAGCATCATCTGGAGAGCTTTAAAAAATGCCAGCCCTGGCCACCACCCAGACTAATTATTTCAGAATCTTTAAATATATTAAGGTATAGTTTATATACAATAAAATGCACCCATTTTAAGGATACAGTTCACTGAAGTTTGACAAATTTATATACTCATGTAACCACCACCATTTTAAGATATAGAACATTTCCATCACCCTCAAGAGTTATCTTTGCCCCTTTGCTGTCAATTTCCCTCACCTTCTGCCCCTGGCAACCACTGATCTGCTTTCTGTCACTATAGATTAGTTTAGCCTATTCTATAATTTTATATAAATGGGATCATAGAGCTTGTATTTTGTGTGTATCTGGCTTCCTTTGCTCAATGCAATGTTTTGAGATTCACTCATTTTATTGGTGTATCAGCAGTTCCTTTTTACTGCCTAGTAATATTCCATTTCATGGATATACCGCAGTCTACTTATGCATTTGCCTATTGGTAGACATTAGAGTTGTGTCCAGTGGGCTGTTGGAGTTATTATGAATAAAGCTTCTATGAACATTCATATGCAAGCTTTTATGTAGACATGTTGTAAATTTTCTTCGGTAAGTTACCTGGGAATGGACTTGGGTCATAAGGGAAGTATTTTAAAAGCTTGATCAGCATTTTTAAAGCTCTCAAAGCTCTTCCTGTGCAGCCAATGGCATGGTAGAGATCCCAGTGCCTTGAGTGTGTGTAGAAGGATAACAGGTGTAGCAGTGTTGGGAGATCGGTGGCCCTGGTGTCCCCCCACTGTTTGCAACATATGATCCCTGGATCCCCCTTAGTGGTTTTACCACCTGCAGAGCCTTCATCTATGTCCTGATATGATGGAGGGCTGCTGCTTGAGGTTATGAGATGTTCTTAAAACAATGCTAATTTATTCAGTAATGTTTATTAAGCACATACCTGGTAACACAATGTCAAATACAGGGAATACAGAAATGGTCAACACAGCTCCTGCCTCCAGGGAACTTGTACAGCCATGACCAATTTAACAACTACAATATTCTCCACCCTATATTATTATAGAGTGTTCTAAGAGCCTAGCTAGAAACTGCTGCCTAACTAGAACATTCTACTGAGCAACACTACCTTCCTTGTTATTCAGGTAAGCCCTTTGGTAAAAAGTCAGAATCTGCTCCATTTTAGGAAGTTGGTATTGTGAGTAGCCTATGTTCCTTTGGCTTCTTCTTTTTTTTAACCATGAGCACAAAAGGAGATATTCTAATTTATAGTTATTATAGTTAATTAAATATAAGTGCTAAGGTGTGTATGCAGAATTAAAATGCCAACTTTAAAAAAATAAGAGGCTGCTTGTGCTCAGCAAGTTCTCCAGACAGGATTTGAAAAGAACTGGGCAACTGTTGGACATAGAAGAAGGTACAATTGAACAAAGTTTAATTGAGGTCTTCCTTATTAGAGTGATTTGAGAAATGCACTTAGTAGACTGAAAGAGTTGAGATGGAAATAACTGGACAAGAGAGAAGCAACAGAACCAGAATCCATCAGCACTGTGGATGGCTCTCTAGGCTTTTCAAGGCTCTGGCTAGGACTGGACTTGACAATGTCCTTCCATCTGTTGGCAGCCTTGCAGTCTCACTAACAGGTTCTTGGCCAGATCCACACAGTGTTCATCTATTTGGTCCTAAAGAGTTACACCCAATCTGGCTCCCCAGCCCAAGAGACTTTCTTCTCCTCCTCCTCCTAGGACCTTTGCCTTTGGATTTTATAGAGAGTAAATGTCCTTTACCAAAGATGTGCACTCCTCAGCACAGGAGTGCCTAGGTCTTAGATTTCCCTCCATTAGTATCCATCTTTAAAATGTATGTATCCTTTTACTCAGCAATTCAACTTCTAGGAATCTCTTCTACAGACATAATCACACGTGCACAAGCATATAGGAGCAAATATATTCATCAGCCATTATTAGTAAGAGTAAAAAAATGTCTAATAGAGAATTCTTAATTTAATTATGGCATCTGTGCAGTATGAAATACAGCTCTTAAGAACAATGAGGTAGATCTGTGTATGCTGACGCAAAAATGTATCTGTGGTGTGTTGTGGGAAAAAAAGTTTTGGACCAATATGTAGAAATGGTCCCATATTAATTTTTTTTTCAAAAGCGAATTTTTTTTATTTGTGTATACTTGTTAAAGGTCTGGTGGGATGCATGTCAAACCATTGATCATGCTTACCCCTGGAGAATGAGATTGAAATCGAAAATAAAATTAGAACAAAGAAACTATCACTTTTTAATTTTGGAAATGTCCGTATTATTTGTACCTTGTAAAATAAACATATCTTTGTAAATTTTTTAAAGTAACCTTCTCTTGGGTTCTGCATCTCTCTGGGTTGGGTTCTGGAGTCAGACTGGGAGCTTATATTTGCATAGGCCCTTACAACTGCAGAAGATGACTCTGACAGAAGATTGACTTAGGTTCTAAGAAGTGCTTTCTAGTAGCAATGCCAGATGCCTGAAAAAAATTCTTATTCACCAGAGATATAGAAAGGGAACTGATGCATAAGAGTTTAGTAGATGAGGAGTAAAGTGCCTGCATAATACCCACTTATTAAAATCTGCGAGTAGGTCTGCTACTTGGAGTGGTTGTTTCACGGGTCAGTATTTGCTTTAAAAACACTTGATGCAATGGACTTCGGATATGATTCAATTCATGGGATGTGTTGAAATCCTAAGAAATCAAATATTAATGCAATGGAGGATGCTTGTCATGGGATACCAGTCATCCTCTCCTCATTTCCTAAATAGATTGTGAATTGGATAGGACTTGTCCTGGGAGATGTATTACCAATTGTTTTTGTTCTTGAAAGGAAAAAAAGAGAAAGGATAGGTTGTACAAAGGAATCCCGAAATCTCAAAGCATCGCATTGTTTCGTAAGCTTTATGAACATAATAATAACTTGATTTTAATAGATAATCTCAAAAGTTCTATTTCCACTCAGAGGATACTTGAACGGATAAAATGATTCTGATGTAACACAATCAACCTAAATTTTTAGGACAATTTGGTTAGTATTTGATTTATTGAAATATGTCCTCTTTATTGGTGGTGGTGGTGGTTGTTTTAATATTGTCCCATTATTCTCTTTTCTGTTTTCTCTTAAAATCAGGTTGAAGAACTACACCCTGGTTTTTCTAAGTCCAATTACTTGTTCTTGGCCAAGGTGAGGAAGACCACTGTTTTGGGTTGTTGTTTTTTTTTAATATTTTATTTATTGGGGCGCCTGGGTGGCTCAGATGGTGGAGCACCTGCCTTCGGTTCAGGTCGTGATCTCCAGGTCTTGGGATTGAGCCCCATGTCAGGCTCCCAGCTTAGCGGGGAGCCTGCTTCTCCCTCTCCTTCTGCCTCTCCCCCTGCTTGTACGCTCTCTCTGTCTCTCTCTCAAATGAATAAATAAAATCTTTAAAAATATATAATTTTTATGTATTTTTTGAGAGAAAGAGAGAGAGTGCAAGCGGGGTGAGGGGCAGAGGGAGAGAGAGAATCTCAAGCAGACTCTGCACTGAGCGGGGAGCCCTACTTGGGGCTCGATCCCGTGACCCTGAGATCATGATTTGAGCTGAAACCAAGAGTCAGACGCTTAACCAACTGAGCCACCCAGGCACCCCAGGAAGACCACTGTTTTAAGATCACTTTGAGTCCATTACATAAAAATGTGCTTGCCTTTCATATTGACTATTTTTCATTTCTAGTGTTACATCGATCTTGAACAAACAGATGACGCTATGAAGTTTTGTAATTTGGCAGTGTTGCTTCCTTGTGTTACCAAAGAGGTAAGTCCCAACAGTGACAATGAGGGCTGTTATTTTATTAGTCCTTTTCTGGCTTCAAAGATAGCTTAGAAACGTCTGGATTTTTCTTCCATACTAAAACTTTGGATTTAACATGTAGTATGAAGTTTTTAAAATTGCTTCAGGTAACCCTTCACCAGCAGACTCCCTGTATCTTTCAGGGACACACAAATCATGGGCTAGCAGTTAAAACATCCTAATGCTTGTTAAGGGATTAGGCTAAACCCCGCTGGGGGAAGGAAGGAGGGCAGCCTAATTCTGGGGAGCTGATGATGATGAAGCTGTGATAGGCAGCAGACAAGTAAGCAGGCTGCCCACCTTGGAGCGAGAGAACTGTCCACGTGGCTGCGATCTTCAGGCCTAGCTCGCAGCAGGGGAGGGCTATCCTCTAGCAGGAAGAAGATTAAAAATAACGTATTAGCATTTTCTCAGTCTTTGAACACCTACCACTAATAAAGAAGAAACTATCGCATTGCTTCTTGCCCTTTTGTTCACTAATTCAGGGTTCTGGAAGTACTCTGTTTTAGGAATTTCAGAGTTAACAGTCCAGCCTACGTTCCTGTGAGCTATATATTGGTATTGTGGGAACAAAAGAAAATAGATAAATGTTTTCCTTCTCCCTTCTCATACCACCAAACATTAGCATCCTCTGAATCACAGCTAAAAGAAATGCCTCAAGGGGCGCCTACGTGGCTCAGTCAGTTAAGCGTCTGACTCTTGATCTCAGCTCAGGTCTTGATCTGAGGGTCGTGAGTTCAAGCCCCACGTTGGGCTCTGTACTGGGTATGGAGCCTACATTTAAAAAAAGAAAAAGAAAACAAATGCTGCCTCAGAAATAAGAATCCCTCTTCTTCTCTGTTGGAGCAACACTGGCTCCGATGTTTGTGATCTCAAATATAAGCATGTAAGGCATGCCCACAGCCCTCTAGAATAGCCCACAGCCCTCTATAGCCTAGAATATAAGTTATATATCCAAATAACTATAGGTCAGGGTGGAAAGCCTGAAGTGCTAAGAGAGGTACAAATAATTGGTTATGGAAATAGTGAAGATGGAAATTATTTTCACCTAGAAGAGATTAAGTAGCATCAGAGGTGGGTTTTGATGACATGGAGGTGTGAGTGAAGCACATCACAGATCATGAACAAAGGCGCGGTGGTGGAAAAGCGAAGATTTGTGTGCTTGGAGGGAAGGGGGTGTTCAGGACAGTCATGGGAAATATGGATGATGGAGAAGGGGAACAAGACCTTCCTGGAGCTTCAGGGTTCGGGAGGGCCGTGTCTGTAGACAGGGCTGGCCAGCCTCCCCCGGGCCTTCCCAGCAACTGCCAGCACTAGGTCTCGGATGGCTTCTAGATGTGGGCTTTCCTATGAGGTTGGTTGTCCTTCTCCCTCAGATCCCTCGGTGGGTTCCGTTGGTCAGTTCTGAGCTCAACAGCACAGACTCAGTAGCAGCACTTCCCCACGGAAGACACTTGATGTAATTTTGGGGGCAGAAAAACAGATTTTGTACCTCTGGCTGCCTGCTCCATATCGGTCATGGGGACCCTACCATCTTTCCCATCTCTCCTGAACGATGTCACTTAGGTTACATGCAGTCATCTTAAACTGAGTATCTATGTATTCTTATTAGAATTTGAGATTAGACTACAGTATGATAATGAAGTTTAATACCTGGTGTGACATGCGAACATTTGGGCACGGAATTTAGTGCTCTCACACAAGGGCTAAATATCGATGACCCCCAAGGTTTGGTCCTTGGTCCCTAAATCTCCCCTCTCCTCTCCCCTTTCCTCCTCCCTACCCCACAAGCCTGTTGTCCATGACTTCAAATGCTATCTCCCTGCCGGGAGTCCTCAAATTTATATCTTTAGACCTCCCTTCTGAGCTCTAGACCTGATTGTCCACCTTCCCATGTGCCATCTCTACCTGGATGTTTCAGAGACATCTCAAGCTTAACTCGTCATCAGGCCTTTGGATCTGTTCCTCTCCATCTTCCCATCTACTAAACAGCACGTTCATTCATCAATTAGGAACGCTGGGAATCATCCTTGACCCCTCCTTCTACCTCGGCCCCCAACCCAGACACCCACCCAGCCCCCAAGTTCTCAGAATTCCTCTTCTAAAACATGCCATGAGCCACCCAACGGACCTCTCGTTCCGCTGCCACCACTCCAAACAGGAAACCACCCGAGTTCACCCAAACTGCGCTGTGGGAGCCTCCCACTGGCCCCACAGCTTTCTTCCTCCCTCCAGGTCATTCTTGGCTCTCCATAGCAACTGAGGCAACAGATTAAACAAACCTCAATCTGTCCCTCCCCCTACTTGAGAGTCCTAAGTATGTAGCATGTCCTTCACGGCTCTGATGCATGTTCTCCACTCTCCTCACCTCTGCACCATGCTCTTCCCTGCCTCACACCATCAGGCCCTGTTGTTGCCTCTTCTGGAAACACTCCCACCCAAGTCCTCCAGCCCCTTCACCACCTCTATTCCCACTCACCCTTTAAGCCTCACCACAAATGTCATTTCCTTAGGAAAGACTTCCTTGATGCTCCCAGGCAAGAAAGTACTTTGTGCTTTTCCTTCAAGTCATTGAGCAGGGCTGTGGTTGCCTCGTTATGTGTGTGATTGTTCCACAAGAATCTCGGCTAGGTGGGTCTCATCCATACCTCTATTCCTAGTGCCAGGTGCCATGCCTGGCATATAATAAGCACTCATGAGTCCTGGTAGGAAGAATCAGAAGACTAATAGCACGCAAATAAAAATACTAGTGCTAATAGTGCTAATAAGTAGGACTGGATATGAATGTAACTAAGAGAGCTGGGCCCTGTGGAAATACTTATGTAATAAGCAAAATAGCATTAATGAATATTTCCCATGTTACTTTTTTTTTTTTCCAGTGATGTTTCCATTCGTATTTTCTAGGAGGTTTGGTTTTGTTTTGTTTTTTTCAAGGAATTAAATGTACTGTCAGGAATATCTCCATTTCTTTTTCAGTTAGCAAATAAGCTGAGGAGAGTAATCTGTAGTACCCCTTATCTCTGTAAGGTTTTCCTGATGGAAATATGCCTCATTAGTGATTCTGCTGACCCGTCTATTAATTTCCAAAATGTCCAGCAGAGCCACTCATTACAGTGACGGCCACCAGGCCATTGGCACGCTCTCCCTCACGTGAACTTGCCTGACCTGTGTAACTGCTTCCTGGCCATTTTGTCACTTGTGACCTGTCTTCCGTCCCTTTCAGGGAGTACTAACTCATCACACTGCACTCAATATTGGGAATGTCAGCCCTTGGGCTCTAGGGCCCAGATTCATGCATGTGAGCAGCTTTATATTCCCAGAACTTGAAACTACAGTATTTTATTATTCATGTGGACTTTTCTTGACCCCAGGGAGGTAATCTCAGGTCCTGAGAAACATTCTGTTTTTAAAAAAAACACAAAACCAAACCAGGATTCCTATGTCTAAGGCAGTGTGAGAATGCTTGATGAATGAAGTCATGACCACACAGCAGCCTGGGAGTTCTTTGCCTGGAGGAAGGGTCCAAGTGACTGACCTGGACTAGGCTGCAAGCGCTCCGGGCGCGAAGTAGTATGTAGTATTGTGTGTTATGACAAGGGGTGCGCTGGTCTGGTAAAGAAACAGACTGTTCTTAAACGGTTGTAATATTTTGAAGTGACATGAATTGCTCTTCTAAGACAAAGTCTTATAGGACAGTAAATAAAATATATGAGAAACAACTCCAGGAAGAAGAGGACACCAGAAGCGCTCAAAGTAAAGATGACTGTGTCCCAGCTCACAAGTTCTTGGAAGTTACCTGTTGTTTAAAATCCTGGGCTGTACCTCCATGCTGTTACATAGATTAAGAATCATCCTCTCATTAGTCACCACGCTTAGCAATAAAATCCTAAGCCTGCTTTTAATTTTCTGTCTTAATTAAGACCTCATATTTGATTTTCTTCATTAAGAGATTGGTTTTTATAAAATAAGTTTATAAAATAGAATTAGTCTACAGATGTTCACCCTGCCTTCCTGTTAAGGGAACACAACAGCTCAGAGTGATGAGTGGGTTACTTACTGAAAGCCAGCAATGTTGTTCAGCATCTCATTTTTTAGAAATTCTGATTTACCTATTTATTTCTGGTTTGGATTTATTTCTTATAGATTAACTCATCCGTGCCATCCATGCCTGGAGAATTCATTCTTCCTGGTACATTTTAAAAGAAAGTAATAAGGCCACTAAAGGATAGACAGACTTTGCTCACTCTCTGAACAGACATTTTCATGAGCTTCCGGCTGGGGGTGCTACTCTGTTTACAACTCCCTATTTCTACTCTTTTGGCTCTTCTCTTATGTTTTTTGGCATTCCAAAATATATTATTCGTTCAGCTTTCTTGATATATAATGGCCTTGGTTGTATTTTTTAAGTTGATCTTGAAAAACACCTTAAAGAGATTTCTTAGACCTCCTTTTAATAATTTTCTTAAAGTAACTGATGACACAACATTGGTTTGGAATCAGTCATTCTTAAGCAGTACCCAGTCTAGTCAAGTTGATGTTTGACAATCATTACCCAAATGCCAGCAGTATAACAATGTAATATAAGTAGATCTCTCTCTTACTTATCCAAAGTCTTCAGCAGAGAGTATTGATATATTTTCCCATATGTGCTTCTTTCTTGTGGCACTTGTAATCTCTTCCTGGCATGATAGTTATTTGTGACATGTCTTCTGTCCCTTTCAGGGAGCTCTAAGCTCATCACACTGAACTTGTTATTGAGAGTGTCAGCCCTTGGGCTCTGGGGCCTAGATTCATGCATGTGAACAACTTTACATTCCCGGAATTTGAAACTACAGTGTTTTACGGAGAGAAAGTGTGCTGTCTCAGCAGAAAGGTTTGGATAGTTTGAATCTGGGGAAGAAAGGAATAACCTGAACTCAAAACCATAACCCGAGTCCTCAGCAGACGACGTTTACACAAATATG